ATATATATATATATAAAAGAATATTATATATATATATATATATATAAAGTTAATTTTCCTTTCACATGACTGAAATTTGGAAAATTCATAAGATGTGTATGCTTTTTGCTTGTGTTGCTACATTTCTTTTAGATCAGTACTATTTTTAGATTTTATTTCATGTAGCTATTGTATTCAAACAATTTAGGGTGTGTGACAGTGTGAAATATCTTGAATGCTCCAATACATTCAGTATGAAAATTATTTGCTTTTAAAATGCTAATACCTACCCCTGCATTATTTGTAATATTTTGACTGCTTCCAAAGACTGGGGTAGTAAAATTAATTGTTGTGAGTGTCTGAACAAACATTTGCATTGAATTAATAATGAGAATATAAATTCTAATCTAAAAGTATGTGTTCAAGAAAAAAATAAGTTAAATTGTCTATTTCTGCATATAAAGCTAAAATGTCAATAATTTCTGTGGGAAACATGAACTGTAATAATTTGAAATATTTTTGGTATATTTTGACCTCTATTTACAAATTATTAAAATGTTTCGTGAGCGTAGGTCGTGTGTAGAAAATAAAATTGATGCAAAGGCAAATAAAATCTTGTACAAAGAAAAGTATATTTCACTCTTATTTCTTCAGTATTCTGTTCATTCTCTTCTTAATATTTCTTAATTTATTGCCATTCCTACGTCATTCATAGTGATTAATAGAAGTGACTAGTGGCCATGATGGTCACAACATGTTGTGTGATGGCTAGGAATTCCTTGAAAACCCAGAAGAATAAATAATGAAGAGCTAAAACATTAGTGATTTTGTTATCTATTGAATTAATTTAATATATTTGATCTAACCTCAAGAAAGAATCCTAATACAAAAAATTGGCATGACTTATCTGACTTCCTAGATTCTATGTATCAATGTTACATTGAATTATGAAAATCAGAATCAATTGCATAAAAAAATTGTCAATGTGAATTGCGAATATTGCAGATTCCCTACCAGATAAAGCGATTGACTTGGAGCAATTTTGAGATGGCGAAAGGGTCACAAAAATCTTATTAGTTTTATTGCAGTAAAAATCCGAGGTGCATGGCATTTGAGTTCCAGCCAGGGACAAGTACAATGAAGTGAAAATTCAATGAATAATTCATTTATCTTACATTTTAATGACCCTTTAATTCTACTTTGAATGTTTCAGTTTTGATTAAAACTGAATTTTTTTGTCAATTTATACTATAATGACATTTTCTTCCATTCTTTTTAATATTGAATTTGCACATTTTTATGTGTTCATTCACTTTATGATTATAGTATATCAGAGTTGAAAATGGAGCAAAGTTAAATATTTAAGCACATAACCCAATAGTGAGACAAAATAGGTGAGAAAGTTTTTGGACTAGACCAAAACGTATATTTGTATGCAAAATAATCTGAAGGAATTTATTTTATAATGGTTTTCCAAACTTCAACTTTGCTCTCCCAAAAGGTTTAGAAAGTTAGGTGCTGAAATAGTTTTTGAAAGTGTGAAAACAATATTAACTTTCTTTCTGATTAAGCAATTTAAGAAAATGTGTAGTACATATTTGAGTGTATAAATTTAGAAATTATATTTGAGGATTGGCAATTATGCTAGGGCCCATATTTTTTTTATATGGTTTCTTTTCTTTTGTAACAAAGAATACCATTAGAAATCATTGTGTAATTTCAAAATACATTTTCATTGCCTGTGTCATAACCATATTAATCCTCATACCATCAATTTACTTCCTAATATAGCTTTCTTCCTTTTTCCCCTCTCACTTTTCTTTATTGAATTTTAATATTATTGTACATACAGTGTATACATATTGTACATTGTACATACATAATTGTCATTAGAAATTAATCCCATGGCTAACAACAAATTTCGTAATGTACAGTCATTTTTGTGTGAATGTTTGTAAAAAAAAATATCCTAAGATGTCTCTGTACCGTCAATGAACACATCCTGTGCATCCCTTTGTACATAAAGTAATAGATTTTATACCGTTTGTGAGGATGTATTTAAAACATTTTAAATATTGATTTTGAGTTCATTTTAAAATTGCAGTTTCTTTAAAGATTGGAATATTTAGTTCAAAAAATTAAAATAGTACATAGAAAGGTACATGTGAAAATTTGGTTTACTCAGAAATTGTATGTAGATTTTGCTACAATTTATGAAGGGGTAAACAAGAAAAATTTTTAAGGGTAAATTTTTTATACATTGTAAATTACTTTATTCACATACATAAACTTTTGTTTTCCATTATTATTATTATTATTATTATTATTATTATTAGTACTTATTATTTCAACTTTTTTAGTAATGTTTTGTTCTGCAATTCATAAATAAATTATTTTTTATAGAAAAAAGGGACAGTAATCTGATGCTCTTCTGAAATTTGTACATTATTGCATTAGTCAGTTTCACTTTTGTCCTTGATTCTGTGACAAAAAAGTTTGTTATAACCTTCTTCCCCTTGGTTTTATGAATGTCTGAATTTTCGTTGTACATGTTTATTTTTGAATCTAAGACATTGCTTATGTTTGTGAACTTTATTTGTATTCACTTGTAAAACAGTTTTAAGAATTATTCAAATTTTTTATCATTCTGTATTAATTTTTACGTGGTTGATCAAGAAGTTGAAAAGTATTTGGGAAAGGCAGACCTTCTTATTAAAAGTTAATCTATTTTAACATTTCTAATTGTTGTACAGGTTGGGTAATTATAAGGTATTTTTAGCAGACGGGGAATCTTGTTTTATGTGAAATAGTCACAAGATGTGAAATTTTTTTTACTTGCCAGAAAATGTTTGCATTTTGTAGGTATACCAGTTCTGTTTGCAATTGTTTTGGATGATTGATTGGTATGTAGGTAGTAGTGAAGCTTCAGCCTTCTTTTTGCACTTTTACTTAATCCTATGTACGCTCTTCAACAATAGCTTTGTCATGAATGTTGTTTAATTTTAGTTGCATCTATTGATGTTAAGGATCTATCAAGGAGGTCCCTATTTTTTAACATCCTTGTCATTATACGTTTTTTGAGATGTTTCACATGTCTTGTGTGCATGCATTTTCACGCACACCTTAAATTTATGATAATAATAATGAATTACTCGCAATATTTTAAAAGAAAAAAGTAAAACATGTTTTCGTCTTACAGTTTTGGCCATGCACCACAATTGGTCCCCAGATATTTTAGGGGACTCCATTCTTCCTATTGCCCAGCTTCAGTACGGCTTGCTTTTTCGGGTTGCTTAGGTCCCGTGCAAGAGGCATTTGCAGCCATGGCTCTCTCGTTTGAGAGTAATTTCAGTTATAGTCGGAAATATATAGATATAGATTATTTATAATGCCATTGTTCCTTTTTCTCATATATTATTTTATGCTGTAGAAAGTACCTCTTCTTGCATGTTTGTATCTCGTGTTACAGACATAATTTTATTCTTTTATTATTCCTCTATTGTAATTTTATTTTGTACTTTTATTTTATTTATTTGGCTCAGGTGAAATTATATTTGCAACAAAAAAAAGTTGATATTTCGTATCCATGTTTTTATGTTTTTAAATGGTGAATATTTCTTTGTTCTCCTAAATTTAAGGTCTGTGTGAGGACAAATGCACATAGGGAATGTTAAACATCACAAAAATCTTTGTAATCGCAGGGACAGAATTAATAAGTGATTTCATTGATTGTCTTTAACATCTGTGGATCCAACCAAAATTCAATAATATTAAATAGGCAATCCTTGGTTAATTTTTTACCACATTCAAATTCAAAAGTTGTTTCCATTGTGAAGCTCAAGGTTGGTGAATGTGAAAGAACAAGAGTTTTGAACTAATCCACAAAATTGTTAAAGAGATTGATAAAAATTTCATAACTGAAATATCAAATGTTACAGAAGATCATTTAAAAAAGGCCACTATGGAACCTCTAAGAATTTCAATTGGGAATTGCTATTGGTTTTTGGTTTGTTTGTCTTTTTGTTGTTCTTTTTTTAACATGAAATTTGAAAGTGAATAAATGTCTGTTACTTTTAGTCTTCAAGGTTTTTCAAAAACATTAACTGTATTAGTAGATCAATATAATAAAGATCTCCTTGTTTTCTATAGAATGGATGAGCTTTTGTGCTGATCTATCACATTGCCCAAGAAGAATAATTAAATTCAGGGTTACTAAAAATCGTGAATAAAAATTTTAAAAAAATTAAATTTTGTATTTAAATTTGATCTAAATTTAAATATTCAAACTGAGTAATGTTTTTAGATATTTGAAAGAAGAAACCAAAATTGAAGGGCCAAGTAGAACAAAGGGCAATCTCATGTGGACCTAGTTCTGAGATTTTGATAGTTTTACTAGAACTCCTACAATAACTCAGAAACAGCGGATCAGTAAAATTGATTGTGACATACGAAAGTTAGACTCAAATATGATAATTAAAAGAAGTGCTCAAGAGTTGGTAGCTGTTTTCAAACAAATTTTGATTGCAGTATACAAAGTTCAAGGAAATTCCTAAATTGGTGACAATGTATATTGAAAATTTAACATATTAAAAATTTTAGAAAATTATTTGCCCAGCATTTTAAATTCTTCACAATTAAAGATTTTTAATACACTTGATAGGCTAGCAGTTACTAATAGTCATCTGGAAAGCTATTTGTTTACATTGAAATATTCTCTGCATTTGCAAAGATACGTGAGTAGAGTAGAGAGAAGTAGATGAGAACGTTGAGAGTGAAGCATTTGTGAAGTGTGTCACTGGCATAGGAAAAATCTAGGAATAAACAAGTGAATTCAAAATAAAATTTCTCCAAAACAGTGAAAAATAGATTTTACATATAACATTGTTTTTCTTATTGTCAGTTTTCTCACATAAATGGCATTACCTCTCTTTTCTAATTGGGTTGCTGAAGCTTCATCTTAAAAAAGGTCGGTCTGCAGATTTTATTTTCTCAATTTCATCACTTGCTGCTTTTGTTCTGGGAAAGTAATTTCTTCTATTTGTTGTTTCATCAACATCAATCCCAGATTTTCTAGAAAGCTGCGCCTTTTTTTAAATATTTGACTCTCAATTACGAGTAACTTTCAAGTGTAAAACATAGGCATTGTAAGCACTTACAATAAGTGACCAACGGGTGAATTTTCTTTTTGTTGTATAACATACAATTGCTTTGTACATTGTATCAACTGCTCCTTTTGTTGTGTTGTATTTGAGTAGTATAATAAGTTTCTTACCATTTTGCGCACATACTTCTTTGCCCATATGTAATGTACTGTGCAGTACAACACATTTGTTAGATTCTTCTTGAAGGTATGAAACCAAGGTGGTATTACACATAAACGCGAATTTTGAAGTCATTTTGGGTACATCTTTTGTCTGTAGGAGTTGTGGAGGGAAAAAAAAAATTACAGAAAAAGAAATGAACATGTAAAATAGCATTTATTAGCATCAGTATCTACAAGTCACCTGCTAGTATGGAATGAATTTTTTCCACATTTGAACTTGTCCAATCAAAAATTAGAAATCGCCTGGGAACAGAAAAAGCTGGCAAAATTGGTGTTCAAAATTTTTAATCATTTGTAAAGTTTACTATAAGTTACATTTTTTATTTAAATCAATATTTTTTGTGATTTATTTGATTTAAATCAATGATATAAATCACTTGATTTAAATCATCTGGTTAAATTCTTTTCAATTATCAGATGGTAATATCAGAAATTACTTTAGACTCATTTATTTTGAATTAGATGTTGAAGTGATGTTTGTTATATTAGCCTGAAAATTATCTTGCTGCAAATGAATGTGCCAGGCAGTTGGACTGGACAGGAAGAATTCCATGGACAGCTTAATGATGCAATGGAACTTCTTTGTAAGTGCGTAAATGTAAATTGGAAATTTCGACAATGTGACTGTTCATGCTTCTTAAATTCTCCATCTATATACTTGAATTGTAAACATAAATCTTTTCATTCTGCTTTTGTAAGATTTTTTGTAAAACCTGAAAAGATTGCAACAAGTTTATGATTCCTTACGTTTCAGAATTGCTATTTTAATTTAGGTTGCTGTCAATATAAATTTAATTTTCAAGTGCTCTTCATCTATATAGAACCACCAAAGGAAAATTGCAATGAAACAGCACTTGCATATACTCAAACAATGCTTGAAATGTGCAAATAAGTGGAATGTTTTATGATCAATTACAGAAATAGTCAGTGAAGGCGATTTCATTGTTTCTTACCGAAAGTAACTTTGGTATTAGGTATTTATATTTTCGTAATGCTCTCGATTTGTTAAATAAGCATTACACCATTGGTGTTCATGGGCTATTCATTATAGTTGAATTGAAGTATTATATCTGTATGTTTTCTTGAGCCCCGGAATATCTACCCCCACCCCTTTCCCGACATTAGTTGCATTAAGAATAAATGATAGCAATGAGCGTTATAGACAAAATCTGATGACGAGGAATGTTTGCTCCCGTGTATTAAAAACTATTTTGCTTGAAGAAATGAACTACAAATTCGACATGAAATTCCTTTTGTCAAAAGGGCTTAAGAAAACTTGCGCGGATAATACTAGGAGACGGTACTAATGCGCCAGTTTACATTCTTGTTCCAAAATTGCTTAAAAATTAATTGCAAAAACATTAGCAGTAACTTATTTGTTTAAATTTAATCATGAAATAGTTTCATCTGTATTTGAATTTGGAATTCATCCAGCACACATATGTGAATATAGGCATTTAGGAGAGTGAATTGTCACCTTAAGACACTCAGGGATTGATTTTCAATAAAATGATGTTCGAAATTTTGCTTATGTTTGACTGGAAAATTTGATCAGTGTTTTTGGTGCAAGAGACTTCCAAAGTTTGAATCTGTTAATTAACAGATTGCGGTTTCTCTTCATCAGTTTCTGAGTTTTCGTGTTTAATTTCCCTTTCCAGCAATTGTTTTTGCTGCAGTGGTGAATGAGAAAATATAGATAACAAGGTAGTAATGAGCCGCTCGCCCGTAATTTCTTGCGGTCATAACATCAAATTTCGTTGAATGCTATATTTGAATCAATGTCTAGTGTAGTTGTATTTTTTCGTAGTTACGCCATCCCATCCCATACCATTTTCTTTGTTTTTACAATGCTATAATGACTGCATGCCCCTGTATATATGACAATTTCAAATCTTTCTGTTTCGAAGGTGGTGACATAACTTTTGGCGGTCAGGACGGTTTTCCTAGTTTTGCTGCCCTTTTCTAAATGATAACATATTTTATGTATGCTTATTTAACGTAATACAATTGTATGTGACGTTGGGTGGAAACATGAATATACCATGAGTCTGTTTTTGAGAGCCGGAACTAATAGCAAGTCCTCAGCCTGAGCATGCTTTGTGTGTTGCAGACGATGGGGTGTCGTTGGAAGGTGGTGTGTCGGCGGCGGCGGCGGCGACGTTGGCGACCGGCACCGCCTCGTCGTCGTCTCCGTCGGGCACAGCGGCGGCGACGGCGACGACCGCAGGATCAGGTAAGGACACGCCCGCGGGGGCAGCGGCGGCGAGAGCGAGCGCGGGGGCGACGCCCGGCCTCTCGGAAGGCGGCGGCGGCGGCGCGCCGCGGCCGGGCCCCGCGCCCGTGCCGGCGCGCCCGTGCCCGCCCCCGCGCTCGCCTCCGCCCCCGCGCCCGCGGCCGCCGCCGACGCCGCCGCCGCTCCTCCGACAGGACGACGACGACGATTCGGAGACGAGGAGGAGGAGGAGGAGCGGCGCGTAGGCGGCTCGCCACTGCCGCCCCCGGCCCGCCCCGCCCCGAGCCGCTGCCCCAGCGGGCGCCGCGACGTCGCGCCGCCGCCGCGGCAGCGCCCCTTCGAGACGAGGACGAGTCGGACGCCAGCTCGGCGTCGCCGCCGCCGCCATTGCACCGGCGTCGGCCTCGCCCGCCCACGACGGCGACGTCGCCGTGGCTGCCAGCGAAGACGGCGCGACGCCCGCGGGCGCCGACCTGGACGGCGACGCGGCGGCGGCGGCGGCGACGACGACGTCGGTCCCCCTGCGGCGCGCCGAAGCCGTCGACCCCGCCGACGCGGGCCCGAAGCCGGAGTGCGCAGGCGCCTTGGAGGCCGAAGCGAAAGACAGCGGACCGCCGAGGAGGAGGCGGAGGAGAGGCGACGGCGATGGCGACGGCGACGCAGGCCGCGGAGGCGGCGTCGCCGCCGTCTGCAAGCGACGCTGACCCCGACGCCGCCGCTCGGGCGGCCGGCGACGCCAGCCCTGCCGACGACTGACGCGTCGTTGTCGCCAGCGCCGCCGCCTGCGTGTAAGGACCGTGCGTTTGTGGTGCGAGCGAGTGCGTGAGTGCGCGCCGCGGGCCACCCGGGGGCTCCCTCCGGAGGCTCGCCCCGTGCTAGTGTGTGCTTGCGATTTCCCTTTTTATGTGTAGTTCTTTCAGTTGTTTCTTCTTCTCCTCCTGTTTTATTTTGGACCCCTCCCTCCTCCCACTCCCCCTTTTCTTTAAATTTTGTTTTTTCAAGTAGTCTTTAATGTAGAGAGGCATGTAACCTCCCCAGCATTGCTATTTTTCTCTGTATGTCTGCTTCGGCGCAAATAAAATTCATCATGTCAGCGCTTGAATCGTCTTTCTTTATCCTATCCCTTAATCCCATAATGCTGGTGAAGAAAGAGACACTGAAATTGACGTAAAATGTAAACAATTCTGTGTTTTTTAATGTACAGTCTATATGGCAAGAAAATTGCATTTCATTCTCAGCTTGCTCTGTTACAAATTTATGTGAGCATTTTACTATGTCTTGTTTTGCACCAGTTTTTTGTGTTGACAAATTATGTTATAACAATACTTTTGTGCTTTATTGCACTCACAATTTTGTACATGAAGGTTGTATAGTATTCTCCAAAAATATGAAAATAAATCAGTTATACAGATTTGCAGAGTGATTTTTTTTTTTCTTTACGGGTTCTCAATTGACAAAGAATATTGAACAACGAACACAAATATTGAAATTAATTTTGTAGCTTTTTCTGTTGGTTTTTTAGCAAAGGTTGTGTGCTATATTTTGTTATTTTTGATTCTTCATTTTTTAATGACCTAGATCTTCTTTCTTAATGGCCAGCGTGGGTAGCTGAAGTACTTAACTACACTAACGTCACAGAGGTTAAGCAACTAGACACTGGGTCCCTGGATGGGTGACTGGGAACCCTGGAACCTGAAGGTTTGCCCCCTGACCGAAGGAATGACAGGCAATGACCTACTAGCTTAATGTAGGATTCACTCAACACCAGTATGAGCACTTAGAGAACATTGTTATGAAAAACTGATACTGATTATTTTATTTGCAAAGTTGCTTCATTTTTATAGGTACATTTTTATGTGGAGAAATGATCCGGACATTAAATTAGTCTTAGTTTTTTGTCTCCTGGAAAAATCCAGTCAAATTTGAAGTGAATAACTGTGATAATTGTGCCAACTTCAATGTGAATGGCAGTGATTTTGATTTCATCCTTTATTCTTCGTAATGAGTGCCACCCTAATTTCTGAGCATAGGTGAGGGAGAAGGCTTGTGCCTTTTATGTTCTTCCCTCTCCTGACTTGGTCTGGGGTGGTGGTTTGTCTTTGTGAAGGTGGTAAGGTGATTGTGATTGGTGATAATGTGTATAGCAATGGTTCTTAATGATTGCTTAGTGGTGTGAGGAGCCAACCATCTCACAATCACTTGGTGAAAACTTTTTTGCTCTTTCTATTTATTTTGTGATAGTTCATTACTACTATTTGACCAATGCTATTACTTTTGCTGTTGCAAAAACTTTGATGATGTAAACTTTTTTAACATACTGAAATCAAACCAATGATGTTTTCAAGAAGCTGTGAAGTTAATTGAAAGTTATTTGGCCTGTTTTAAGAAAACAGTATTTTAAATCTAGAAATTTAGGTAGATATTCTATGATCTACATGATTAAAAAAAAAAAGATGTTTATCGTAGACATATTTGAGAATTTTGCATTTCTGAATATTACATTAAAATACACATCAATGATTCTCCAGTTACAGATGAATAGTTTGGTGCAAAAATGTTTTAACTTAATGACCCTGAAGGGTTAGTCAAGATTTAATGGATGTAAATGGAAACCGTTTTTAATTGTGGAAATTGATTTCTTAAATATTTGTTACAAACATTTTATTTTGTGTGAAAGTAGATTCCTCTTTCCGTCTTTAAATTGCCTGGATATTTTAAATAAATAATTTTAAGAAATAAATTGTAACTTGTACACCATGTTAAAATATATTCCAGTTAACCCAAAGGGCGAGATCGCAATAGTTAATATTTTTTGACAAATAAACAAAACTGTGTGGAATGTAGCCATCCCATAATGTGATTCGTCAAATCATAAAGTGAGAGATGAAGTTTTGCAGTGGATGAAAAAATAAAGCACTCTTTGAATGACATTCCATGGAATAACCTGGGGCAGATCCAGAGACAAATTTTGGGAGAAGAAATTTAAAATGTTTTGGTCAAATGTATCCTGTAGCTTTTGTAAAATGCCACAGGCTACACGCAAGTCTCGCTACGAATTTATTCGTTTTAATAATTAACCGAAAATGTTTTTGCTTGAATGTTTCGTGACAAGTTAAAATTAATGGTTTCTGAAACATTTTAGGTGGGGAGAATTTCCCTCCCCGTGAATTCGCGCCTGGAATAACCATTAACCATCCATAACCGGATGTTTTGACACACAAGGAAGAGTCTGGAGAGAATATAAGGTGGAGAGACTAGTATACTAATTCGTCTCATTGAGTCATTGAAAATTTAACTTGTATGTAAAGTGATAGGAAATTGTACAAAGTCATGGTGTGTGAAATATTCGTTTAAAGCAAGGTTTTCAACACAACAGGGACTACTCCAGACCAAGACTGCAGAAGGGTGAGTGAAAGTGACAGTTTTGACAGAATTCTTGTTTCAATCCAGTTGCTCTACTGTATTTTTCTCGAAAACGTAGAGGTTGTATGATACGCAATTGTACACATTTTGAAACCTTAATTCTCAAATTTCTTTCCACCAGTAATTCTAAATCTTTAGGAGTTCGGCATTCAGTGCTCAGTTTCTAATGTAATTGAATGTGATGAAAATCGCAATTTTTTCATTGCAGTATCAGTATTTTCCAAACACGTGAATTACGTCCAGCAGCAAACACATTCCCAGGGTAAAAATATTTCTGAAGCGTTAGCTTCAGTGGCGGTGAGCTCGCAAGCATCCATAAACCGCTCTGTAATAAAGCAAAAAAAAAACGAATATTTATTCTGTACAATTTAAAATAATGTGTAACTCTTTCTGTTTGTTAATAAACGCTAAGCTTTAGTAGAGTGTTTAAGGTATAATTTGACACACTATGACACTATTTGCACTTGTAAAATAAAGACACAGACGCCACATATAGAGTATTCACAGAAACTTAAGAACATTCAGAGGAATTGACCCTCGCTGGTTCTTCCCTGCAAGAATATTTTAGGAAAGAATTTGCTGTTGATTTTAAAATTGGTAGTGAATTGCAGTTCAGTCGATAGGAATGTTTTACCTGGAACCTATTTTTTTAATATGTACCCAGGAACTAGTTACAAACCCAAATATTCGGTCTCCCATACCTTATGCTAACTTCGAGAGAACAAAAAAAGCGTTTTATGAAAAATTATTCAAATCAATTTGAAATAGAATAAAAATTTTACAACTTCGGTATAAACATTTCTTTCTAAACCATTTAATAAGCTAGCTACAGATTTTCAAAACGACGCAATTTTTCATTCTTCCAAAAATGTATGCAAGCGCACGCACGTGGTTGTGTTCCAATTCAACTATTTAATGCGAGTACAAAATCATTTTAACAAACCTTGTTATACATTATTGCTACAATAGCGAAAAATAATTCTCAGGGGGAAAGGCGCCCATGGAAAATCGGGTGGGAAGGGAGTGCCAATTTACAACAACAAAAACTTGTAGTGCTACAACACACTTTCTCGCATTGTTTACAATTTTTTTCAATTTTTGAAAATATTAAAAGAAAAAAATATGTCTAGTAATGTTTGTAAAAACAATATATCCAATATTTTAATTTTCCATGTGGGTAATGAATTAAATGCTGAGAATATGGGTACATCTAAAAATAGTGAAACACATTGGATGTGTTATATTTAAAATAATAAATAGTGTATTTTTGAATAATTTAGAGGATATCCAGCATCACAATTAGTACAATATAACACGCTTATTTAGATTTAAAAAACAATTCAATTGTATATACTGATATTAAAATATATACATCTCTGATCATGGTTAATCTGTGTTAGTGTTTTGTCAGGAATAAGGCTTCTGTTTACAAATTATTTTCTTATACGAAGAATTTTGCGTGATATTTCTTAAAATGCTCCTTATCCTCCTTCCCCTCATCTTGTTGCAAAATTTAAGTGTGAATTCTTTCAGTTTTTATTATTTCGATAATTGAGAAGAAATCATCAAACTGCATTAAACGTTTCTTACATCTTATAAATCTTCGCACAATATGATTTTTAATTCATTCGTATAACTCCATTGTGGCTCCCATGTGGCAAATGCAGATCACAATTGTTACTGAAAGTTTGCCGGGAGGTGTTCAACTGTCCAGCCAAGTAAAATTAGACTAAAAAATGGCGATTGAAGGAAAAAATTCCGAAGTTTTGAAACTGGCATGCTTCTTTTTGGTACCTACTACATAACATTCTAAAAATCCTGAAGCCTGAGGGGTGAGCTGGGGCGGCCGTTTGAAGACTCTTTTTCGAAGATTTTTGCATATATCTTCATAACTATCAACCCCACAGAAAATTATGTCCTATACAGAATTAAAGTGGATAAAATTTACTACAAAAATGTTTAGAAAATTTTGCTGTAAAATTAACCATTTTAGTATAATAGGCTTGAAAAGTTATTGTTTTTGTTTACAAGTCCCCCGTTATCTCTCGTATAAAAATGATGTCATGGTAAGTTCAATGTACGTAAGTAATTCTATTTTTGTTCAACATTTATCAATAACATGAATTTGCATATTTTGCGCAAAAACTGGAACATTGTACATCTTTTACAAATTTTGTTTTGTGTAAAGACTTGCGAGTATCCGTGGTCATTGGGATCCGAGATTACGTAATAACAATAATAATCCATAGTTTATTTGATAAAGATCGAGTAAAACTATTTGGTAAAGAATTGTGTACGCTAGAGCCTTAGGGCTTGTCGTAAACAAAAAACAAAACTTAATACCTAAATGGAACCTAAAACAGAATACCTAATTGGAACGTTTCTGTACGAAATTTTATCTATTTTAATTTTGCATAGAACGTAATTTTCTTAAAGATTGATAGTTAAGAAATACATATGCAAATGATGTCTAAAAAGCACCTTCAAACCGCCGCTCCGCCCCCGGCTCACCCCCTCCACACACACACACGGATTTGTAACAATCTGACAAATTTCAAAACTC